AGACTTTCCTCTCGTTGATGCAGGCATTAACGGAGCAGCCACTGTGCTTAGCTTAAACACATCTGTTTGGGCGCTCCATGTCAGTGAGCAGAAAGATGGCGCCTGCTGGAGGGCGGGTTCAGATGGGGTTGGAGGGTGGGGGTTCCCCAAATGATGTTACCTGGGGCAGGATTTTAACATAGAGCCTTTTGTGCACTCATTAACTTAGAGGTGGTGAAAGCAGTAAGAAAGAGGAATGGTTTCTTCTTATTTTTGAACCTCATACACAGGCTTCAGGACAAAAACGACTGTTAAAAATTTTTTATAAAGTGTATTTTATATAATATGAGACCTTGAAAACAATTCCTAATTCTGCCTAGTGTGGGTTGCCTTCCCATAGTAAGAAAGGAGATCAAATACTGAGTTTTATTTATTTATCATGTGTTTGTAGCAAATCCATAAATGCGATCTATTATGTTAGCCTTAGCCATGAAATATTGCTGCGCTTGACAATAGGATAACTTTTTCCCACTCTCCTGTGTCGTGTGTCTTGAAGGTCGCTGTGATCTAGCAACAAGCGGGCCAGACACAAACCTTGCAGAGTGAAAAACCAATTACCACTGCAACACATTTGTTCCCAGAAAAGCATTAGGGTAGCAGCATGGTCTTTCCCAACTGGTGAGCGTGGTCTGAGTCAAAGAGACATACTAGCAAAAAATGTTTCCTGGCTTCATGCAACCCTGATAGCTAAATAATAGATCTGAGTGCAGAGCAGAAAGAAATCATTTGAATTTGTTTTTCTCTCCATGTGCAATCAAAAATGCATTACCTGTAAGAAATCAAGAGGCAAAGACAAAAAAAGAAAAACAAGATACTTAAGCATTAATGGACAATGCAATATTGCACTGTGTATCCAGGAAAATCACAATAAAAATGCATTCCAAAGTAATAGAACTCATTAAATAGAATTGATCATATGGTTTAAAAGGTCTCGATTGTCTCAGCATCTAAGGCTTTTTTTCCTAGTACCTTCAGGTCAGTTTTCAAAAGATTGCCTCTCAGTATCAGGAAAAAATGTGTTGAGTGGCTCTGAATACAATGCTGGGCAGGATCTGATGCCAGTGTTACAGTCTTGATATCTGAAAGCCAATAGCCTGATTTGTATTCAGGTCAAGCTTTGCAGTCATGGCTACAAAGGCTAAAGAGGTCCCTGATGATGGAGTTAATTCCCCCTCCTTCACTCCATAGCTGAGAAATCAACTAATTCCCATCACCTTGAATAAAGTACTTATGGCACTATCTGTGCACAAATTGACTAGGATACAAAACACTGATAAAGCCTGAGGTAAAATAAGGACTACAGACTAGTTACCACTTTTCATAAGGTAGTTTTTAAAGCATCTCTTTATAGGATGATAACTTCCAGAGCCATTAGTCTTAAATATTGCTACTATAACTAGCAATCATTACCCCCTAAAAAGTTGGTAAAAAACACACCTTTATTGAATTTTCTTAGTAGAAACACATGTTAAGCAACAACATCTGAAACTTGTCTCTTGTTATTTGTAAAAAATGTTTCTTCTATTTGTCTAGGTCTCAAGACTGATGTTTCTTCTATGAACTCAGACATGTCAATCTGTACACACAGCGATGGACCTGATTGTGGAGAGATGTGGTACTTTATGAAAACTACTGGGATGTAATCAGTAGGCAAGCTCTCATTCAGAGGATCAGAACGCTCACTTATTAGCACCCGAAGCATCTTTCTCAGCTGTCGCTTTTAACTGTCTGGTGTTCACAGTGATGTATATTAATTTTAAAAGATGATTGTAATATTTTGAGACAATTCTCTTCTGTTAAATCCAGAATAGAATTTAATAACCTACTCATGTATGAAGGTCTAAATAAAAGGGTCCACGATTTTTCTGTTACGCTACCATTCCCCTAAGCCTAACCTTAACAGAACATTTTACTCTCAATCTGTAGGTCCACTAATGGTCCCTAGATCTTCTACAAGCAGAATTAGAGGCAGGTATTTTAGTTATTAGGCTCCTCTCCTGTGGACCCAACTACCAGTTGTAGTCCATGAGGCAGACACCCTGTCTACTTTTAGGAATTTCCTTTTTAATTGATGACAGTACCCTGGAAGGTGCCAGAAGCTTGACCACTGCCATCAACAACTTCAGTTATAGATTTTATTGTTGGACCTGTTTTTCAGTGCTTAGTCATGTTTCTCTCAAATATATAGCTAGCTGTAGACTTTTCCTTTAAGGGGACCAACTCCATGTGCTGTTTCATCCCCTCTTACATGAAAACCAGCTCAGAGTTTACCTGCTTAACTTTTCTTTCCAAGACAAAGCCTATGGTACTAGCTTAGTGTTACATTTTATAAAGTTTTAATGGATCAGTGTTTATATGTCTGCTTCATTCCTCTTGACCTTTCAGCCTCTGTAGAAAGCTGCTTACACTAAACCTGGTTCTGCTGTAGTTTATGTTAAAGGGAAGTTTTTCTTCTCTACGATTGCTGCCTACATGCTTAGTGTGAGGAATCACTGTAGAGTCAGTGGCACAATGCCAGCGAATACTGTCACTACATTCTCATCCAGGAGGAGCAAATCTTTCAAAGTTACTGACTCTATGTAGTCAGCTTGGTTCCTTATATAGAAAACATTTAACCAATCTGAGTGTATGACTCAATTGAACTGACTGTCAAGTGTCCTAAGATGACATTTGTTGTATATTGCTGCAATATTAATAAATAAAAAAGAATACTTTATAAGGTAAAAACACTGTTGAGAATAGCATCTAATTAGTATTCTGCATTGAGTGTAGTGGAGTTAAAATATATTGATTTTTATTACTGGTAACATGTAAAAAAGCAGCAAACTGTTATATCATTGAAACAAAAGGTAAGATTTATTACCATGTCATTCTTTTCATGTTATTACTATATATACATGTATATATATATATATATATGTATACATATATACATACATATGTAGACATATGCATATATATATATATATATATATATATATAAACTGTACCCCATCTCCAATATCATTTAAGAACTTTTATTATATATCCATTAATTCAAATGTATCCTGTGCATCAACAACAGATTAACTGAGATCATCACAGCAAAGAACGGCAGTTCAGATATCTTGGTAGCATTCTGTATCACCCCCATAGATAAAATTGAAAAACATTTAAATGAGCACAGCATTGTATTATAAAATAGTTTATTAGGGAAATTAGAAATGAAATTTACTTTCATCCAGTGGGTTTTTCGACCACGCTGAGCAGCATTTTAACTGTAACAGTTATTCCAGCAGTAATGATTATTTAATACAAATCCACATACTAACATTTATAAAACATTTCAAGTCTAAATTAGCTGAAGAGAAACTCGATTGGCATTAGAGGACAGCAGATAAGAGATTAAACTGGTAACAGCATCTAAGAAAAAAACTGAAATATGTACCATTCAAGAAACTAATACTTATATACCGGACATAACCATCAAGATAAAAACATGAAATGTAGTCTCTGCAGTGCAGTCATACAAAGATGCCAACTATACATATATAGTGTAAGTCAGTAAGACAGTGTAAGTTGATTCAAGTGGTCAAATTTCACTTTCCATCCAATGATGGTTCTGTTTTAAGTAAGCAGGGGTGTCCGAACTTGATTCCCTTTCTCCAGAATCCTTAGATATGTTTCCATTGGGTAAAAAATTACATAATTCAAGATTAGTACACAAGCTGCCTTAACACATCATAATTATTCACTAACATTTTGACTTAAGAAGCATCTCTGCACCGTCTTAGTCCAACTCATAAAAGTGCAGAGCCAAATTAGATCCACTCAATAAAAATATAGATAAAAACATCTGATATGTAACAGGAAATCATCTTAGTGAGGCTTTAGGTGTTTAATTAATACTAAAATAGGAGGTAGAATCAAATCTTACCTTTCAAATATTAGGAAGTTCAGTTTTATTGATGCATCTTTCTGATTTAGAATATTAGCAAATGTTCTAATCATTGTGAAATACTAGTAACTCTAATGTTTTAAGACAAGTTTTAATTAAAGTTTTAGGTGAAATGCATTAAGTTTTTTAAAATTTTAAAGTGAGATAATCTTGAAAGTATAATGAAGTATAATAGACATATTTAGCAATCAGTCTTTTTTTTTTTAAAGCAGGTATTTATATTTAAACTACAGACCCCAAATTTCCTTGGAAGTTATGGAAGTCTTGAAAGCAAATATGGATGTTGACAATGAGCATTAGAGAAATTAAGTCTGACTTTTTACTACTGTAAAGATAAAACGGACTGACCTTTCTTATGGGACTATGTCAAATGGGTCTTTGATCTCAGATATCTTTCTGGATAATAAAACAGCTGGAATATTGGAAGAACAAGAACATAACTGAGGTGAATGTGGGTAATATTTGAGGGCAGAAAGTTTCCAAGGTAAGCTCTGCATTATTGTTAAATTTCTTTACAAAACAGCTCTTGACACGTGCAGGTCTGTAATAAATTATTAACATTTCCCTCTGAATGTTCCTGTTGCATTTTATCCGTTTTAATTATCTGGGTTGTCAGTCTTAGTGCTGCCCTCTTTGGGTTTGGAGGTGGCTACCACACTTAAATTTTCTGATTTTAAATCTTCTTAAAAACACTCTAACAAAATAATGCTTTAGTGTCATCAATCACATATCTTAGTATCCTGGGGCCCGTTTTAATAAGCGGGCTTAACAAACACAGACTCAAATCCTTAACTCTGAAGTGATCTAGCCTTTAGCCTTGTTGGAAACTCTGAGTTTTTCCAAGTTAGTTTAATCAACTCTAAGTTGGTCAATCCGTAGTTGAACATGTGGGTAACAAGTACTATGGAAGACCGCTTTTACATTTATTAAAAGCGCTCTCCTCTCTTGTTGTTCCATTACTCGATCACTAAATTAGGATTTTTATGAATTTAATCATAAAGGACAAGCTTACAACCTTAGTAAACATTTCCCTTAAAACCAAGAAAGATCTGTTCACCACTCAAGTGTTAATAGTTTGAAAGGTTGATATGTGTTAATGCTCATATGCTATAACAGATTATGTAGAAAGGTGAGGATCCCTTGAGATTATTTTATGGTATTAAAAAAAGGGTTTGAGTCCAACAGTAGTGCATACTTTGACTTGTCTAATAAAACTATAATGTTAAAAAGAGTACCAAAATTGTCAGCAGTCTACCATTACAGCTACACTTGTGTAAATGAGGTTTAGACGTGTTTTAAGGGTGAAGCACAAAGAGCGTCATTTCATGCCCTAAAACTCCAGCTTCTCTGGAAAGGTGGGAACGGTTTCTTGAGGTTTAAAAACATGAGATGAGGTTTAAGCCGGGGGGGTTTCTCAGGAATGACAGCAGCTTTGCTTTCCTCAGTGGGAAATCGCTTTTGGTACACCTCTGGGTAAGACTTCTGGAACTGAAATGGAGAAGAAATGAAAATGTTCATTAACCAAAGACAATTTAGCGTTTCATGTCCAAAATATATATCAGGAGAGATTCAGAACTTTGACTTTGTGTACACCGTCCCTACATTTCACTACCGCTGCAAAAATTCAACAATAAGGGAAAAGTTTTCTTATTTTATGATTTCTATTTGAAAAATCTTTTTATCATGAAAGACAAAAAAAAAAACAACTCTTAATGTTGGCAACTAGTTTCCCGAGGTCAAATGTGCAATCACATGTGGAAGAATGCAGCCACAATGGCCTGAAAGAACCTTGGAAAGTTGATCTAGAGCCTTAATCTGTCTTGATGCAGTCACCTTTGTATTCAGCCCTATCCATTTATTACCCTTATCTGCAAGACAAATGTGAGCACCAGGTGTGAACAGAGCCAGCGACACTACATCATGTTTTACCGACTGGTTCCCTTATTAAAGGTTTCTGGATCTACAGTCTAATAATATTCTCCATCCCTCAGCAATTAATATTACATTTGAGTAAACCTAACAAAGGTTTAAAAATTGTTCTACTACATGCAAGAAAATGAAGGGAGTAGTTTCTGGTTCTGATACAATTTATCTTTCTATGCAAACATACAAATGATGTATTGGTTTTCTTTGGCCTTTAAAGCTATAAGATCATCAGACAAAGGTGCAGAAAAATTATCAGTACAAGTAATCACAGCTTTTAATATAGTTTCCCATTATTGAATTGCCTATTGTCTGGCTTTTTAGGTTGAATCTTCAAAGTATTCTTAAAAAAAATAGAATTAATAGGTAACATGTTTTATGCATAAGAGACTGTGACATGTGTGACTGAGTATGTTGCAGTTTCCAGGATATAAATGGAAATATGACAAATTCTTCTGAAGAGAAAGGATATGAAAATTCTCCCAGCTCATCAACTGAGATCAGTTTGAACTTTTTTAATATGGATGCACGATATTGGTATTTTGGCCGATATCCGATATGCCGATATTTTAAAACTCATGTAGCCGATAACCAATATCGATACCGATGTTAAAGCTGGACAAAAATAAGTAGTCATTGAAAATAGCAGTTTTGTTATCCATTTCTGACACTTTAAAAAATAATATACTCAAATATATTTTCATATGCTGATATCAAATAGATTTTTAAAAACGCGGTATCGATTTCAAAATCTGGTGAAATTTCATCGTTCTGTTACAAACTCTCGTGATATTTTGCAAATTCTTGTGAGATTTTGTTAGTAAAATAGATCGATACCGTGTCAATATATAAACATATAAAAATATGGCAAAATTTCGTGAATTTTCGGGGGATTTCTTAGCATAACGATGACATATAACAATGTTTCATTAGTAAAAAGAGATTGATATGGTGTTTTTAAATGGCAATATATCAGCATATGAAGATATTGTGATATTTTAATGTATCAATATTTTTTAAGTTTTTAAGTATGTAAAAAAGAAGTTTTGGAGGAAGAAGAAGTAGTAGTATTTTTTATTTTATTTTTTTAGACTTTAGAAACTGAGAAGCTGATCAAATATCGGGTTAAATATCGGTGGGGTGGCCGATGTCCAATATTCAGTTTTAAGGCCGATACAGGCCGATACCGACAGGGGGCCGATTATATCGTTCATCCCTATTTTTTAATGTGTGTGCATACCTGTTTGAGTCTTTTCCTTTTGTCTTTAGCAGGGAGTTCTTTGTCTGCAATCAGGCCTTCTAACAGTTGTTGCAGGGGGATCTGCGTACCTATTACCTTCTGCTCCTCACAGTCCACCCTCTTAATCTGTCTGCAGAAAGCCGGGGATGCACTGAAATCTGTATCCGAGCCTGCATATTTGATCTGATGGAAGACAGGAAAGAAGTGTTCAGTTAAACTTCCCAAATGTTCACAAGAAACTTTATTCAGATTTGTTAGAATGTCTGTAAGCTGTTTAAAATGTGTTTTATCAAAATTTAAATGTGGAGATAATATACTGGGGTGATGTCCAGTTGTCAGTCAAAATTCTCCATTCCTGTAGTGTTACCTTAAAAGTTTGGATTATGTTTATTCTTATTTGGAACCATTCAGAATTAAAGCCCATTTACCAGCTGAACAAAAACAACTCTAACTCTAACTCTGCCAACACCCTCTGTGACATAATTTGTCCTTGGTAGTAAATTATCTTTTAATTTTTAAAGTTCTGACAGTCAAATGTTTCTTCAAGTTAAGGGGCTGTTTTAATTAAGCTCTTTGGGTTTTATGATTACCAATTTAAAACATGCATTCGATCAGAAGAACCTGGTTCTTCTTATACTTTATGATTAAAACACAAACACTGCAGTTATGAGCATTTTTGTTTTTTTCTTTATATCACATAAAGCCATTAAGTCTGATTTTAGATATTAAAGATTTTGATTACTGCGTTATAAATCAGTGTAAAGATTAGAGGATATTTTAATCACAAGTTTATTACACATCTCCAAGTTTCCCGATGTGCTAAATATTAACTCTCCAAATACTTTCATTATCTGATTCGTAGACAAAGACTGGAACAATCAATGCTGATGTGTTCTGATAGTGAAAGCAGCTGTTCCAGGCTTCTGAACGTCAGCAGGTGTTGGCGTATTTTGAAGCTGGTGAGAACGGGGGCAGTGTGTCCTGCTGAGCTGCTGTGTGGAGTTATTTAAAGTGGAACAGAGAAAAACAGCACAGCGGATATCAATTTAGGTTGATAACAGGTTCAACTAGAATTAGTACATTTCCAACCAGTAGTTTTACTACAGGGAAATTCTTACTGCTTAAAACTTTGCAATATTACTTGCTATAAAGGTACCGGTATAGGGAATTTATTTTTCAAAAGCGCAAAAAGACACTTCAATACAGACACATGGAAGTGAAAGTAAAGCTGTTTTATTTTATCCACTAAAGAGAACAAAGGCTGAGATTTCAATTTACTTCAGACCTTAGAAAAGCTAAAGCAAGACATTTTGCAGGATGATTTATTAAGGACGTGAGCAGTTGACAGCTTCCAGCAAGCCATCAGAAAATAATGTGAAGCACTTTCATCTATACACTTTCTTTAGATCTGTTTGCTTTGCTGGCTCCCATCATTTCTTAGACTATCAGAATTACAGCCAAGGGCAAATAAAACCAAGTCTACAATGTCAGATCATTCAAACAAAACAAAAGTGTAAAATTACACTATTAACTTTTAAGAACATATTTCATTTGTACTATTCTATTTAGATTTTTTTTAATGAAAAAAACAAAAAAAAAACAAGTAAAACGATCATGTAAACTGAAAGACATTCTTGGTGATTGAAGCAATATGAAACCGAGTGGGATGAAGAAAAGGAACACCACCAGCCCCACTATTACTTATAGTCTTTATGTGTCTGTAATAACATTTATGTTATTACAGACACATAAGAGGGTGGACTGTGTGTAACATATATTTAAGTTTTGCTACTGGGACTAATAAAGTTATTTCCAGTATTTATTTATGGAATATGCTCAATACATTTGAAAAAACCCTAAAGAAAAAAATGTGAGTATTCTGTTATCTAATGTTGTATACAAATACTATTATATAAAATGTTAATATTATTACATTTATAGCACTAGTGCTGATGCAGAAAAGTAATTAGGAGCTTATTTCCATTCTAACTCATGACAGTGACCTTATTAAGAGTTTCTGATAAACCTAAAGACATTATTTGCACTGTGCGCTCTCCTAAGACCACTGCACTGCATCACAGCTGCTGGACCATCGTAAATGAATGGGAGTCTTTGCTGTGCAATTAGGATTTGCTTGACTTAAACTGCCCTTGAGCTAAAAAGCCTTAGACAATTAGTGGGACAGTTTACAGAGGCAATATTTCTCGGTTTATTATCTCCAATAGCTACTTCTAAGGGCTTAATGTTTGGTTCCTCTCTTTCCAGCAAACAATTAATTGTTGTGTCGCAACAGGCAGACATTAAATGCTGGTTTCATTAAAAGCTGCCCGAAAAATAACATTTTTACAAATAATATATAGAGAGCTCAAAAAAGAATATTTAATAAATATTAGATTTTTATCTTTTCAGAATTCCACTTTATTATCCTTAACGGACAACAGCTTTAAATACAGACCATCAATTATCTGCCTTCTTTGTTTTCTGGTGTAGTTAAACAAGATGTACAGAGGATTAAACCAAACCCCTTAGAAGTTAAATTTATAATTCGTCGTAGGGAAACGGCTGTTCCAACCGTTTCATTTCCAAATTCTCCCGAGTGGTGCACTACTTTACACGAGTGAATAAAGTAAATGTGATTGGTTGATTATCAAGAGAGGGGGATTGTTGTGGCGAAAGGTTCACAAGCGAGTTTGGTTGTGGCCGGTTTCTTTGAAGCATTTTGCTAACCAGTTAGCAACTTAGTGCTAGCAGGTTCCCAATGGGAAATTACATTAAGACCAAGTAGCACTAAATTCGCGACTAAGAAATGACACTCTCAAGGAACGCTATGGACAGCAGAAACATGCAAGAGGAGGAGAGTTTTGTGTCCGAGGTCATGGAGGAGTCTCCTCCGTCACACATTTTTTATTTAGAGGAGGAAAGCAGGAAGAGGACGCCAGAAGCTTGGTTTGGTGTAGAAGGCTTACAGCCGTACATGTTTGAGCCCTTGCCTCGCAACGCTGCCAGTTCTGTTAACTCTACGCCGCCAAAGACATAGACGTCCATCCCTGTGAACACTGAGACGGAACTCAATGGGAAAGGAAATGATTCTTATTTCTTATTCAACCGTTGCGTATATTAGCTGCGACATATGAATCAAGATGACAGAAAACCGTTGATATATGATTGGCCGAATTTAGGTGTACAAGCTGACGTATAACTAACTGGCCTGCATAAGATAACGAAAAAAAAACCCACAGACAGGATTTTTAAAAAAAATAGAAATGTTCTATATTTTTGTATAATATGGGTTGATAAAGTGCACATTTATATAAATGTTTAAGCCAGAATTATTTGACATTTAAATATGATTTCCCTACAACTTTAAAGAAATGTATAAGGAGCAAACCAGTGATACCATAAAATAAAGTATTTAGTTATGTCCTTAAGTCCTGAAGGCAGTTTGTCATAAACCTACTTTTAAAAGTTGCTTTATAATTACAACCTTCCACCACCTGTTGCAACAGATATTTAAACTCATGAGCACCGTAAAAACAGAACATGCTGAATAGATACGTACGTCCTAGAGTGACGTGTACAATCAAGCTAAATGAAAACTGCTTAACTTTAACTAAGAAAAAAATAAATAATCTGTAATATACACATCATCACTGCTGAATGCTTTATGTTTGAAACATTAAACTGCATCAGCAGTACGCCCACAAATTCAATCAGATTCAATAAATACTTCTGGACATCACTGCTCTATATCTGAGATTTCCAGTGGTCAATGCTGCAGTTTACAGCCCAGTAAGATGCTGTAAATTTGCTCTAAACAAAGAGCTTTAACAGAGGCCACAGGCAAACTAAAAACATGTTGGTAACAAAGAATCATGACGTAAATCAGAACGAAACAAAACAGAGGAAACACAGCAGGACTAGTGAGTCTCAAATACATAATAATCTATTTTTACATAAATAGTAACACTAGGTTGATGGCAACTTTTTATTTCTAAACTTGTCTTTCATTGCATGGCCAACAATTTTCTTACTAGCTCCAATATATACCTAAGGTTTGTATTAGTGAGTAAATATTACCGAAATATTGATAACAAAACAGAAACAAATATATTACACTATCAGTGCCAAATTGGAGCCTTCAACCTACCTGTACGATTTGGAAATGGAAACAATTCAAGTTTGTTTTTATCACTCAAATCATTATTGCATTAAGGCTATATGTGTCAAACTGACCTGAGCTCTTTTTAAATGTGACAGATGCTCCTCCACCTGACATCGCAGCTTGGTATTCACTTGGAAGATGATGTTGTGATGCTCCATCATAAAGGTCACCAGTTTGGTAGCAAGCAGCTCATCCAGGTCCATGTCATCGGCGGAGCCCAGGACACAGGGAGAGAACATCTGCACCATCTGCACACCCATCACAGAGGAACGGGACATAAGAAGCAACTTCATTATCAACTCAATTACGTTAGAGTCAGTATAATGAGGATGGAGGAAATGAATGACACATTTTGTGCTGCTAATGAAATAGATATTTTGTAAACATGCATTGTATCAGACTCTAGTCTAACTATAATTGAACATCTAATACAGGGTGAGTTTCCTTATTAAGAGCAAGATTACATTTCTTATATAAAATCATATGTCAAACATTTTTAAAAAGCTTTCCAGAGGCTTCTACTACAGGAAGTTAAACCATTTAACCTTAATCTTTAGGACAGCACCACGTTGTTACATAACAAGTAATATTCTCAATGCAAAACATAAAAACCTTTAAGCTTGAGCAATCATATGTACATTTCTATTGATCCACAGTATCTATTGACTATGAGCTTTTCTTGGTACATATATCACACTCAGGCAAAACAATACAGAAAGAGCTGCCCTTTGACACTTGAAAGCTGCAAGAGAGCAATTATCCAAAGTTTAAAAAGAAAGTGTTGATTTTGTGCTAAGCTGAAATGTCTGGCAAGAGAACTTTGTGGTGTCTGAATACTTTGGGGAAGAAATCTTACAGTGACAGGAAAAGCTTAGCCCTCTGTGAATATGGTGGATTTTCATGAATAATGTTTTACTCTATGAGAGCGTACTAAATGTGTTGAGACGGGCAGAACGGTGAAAAGCAACAAAAACAAAACTAACTGGAACATTTAAGCTGAATTTTTATCTAAATTCTTGATCTATGTGGACATTTTTATAGTCTCCAGTACTCAAACACAAGGGTACCAAGGTGACTCTATAGGTGACTTTATATTTGCTTGCATAGAGCTTCAGTAAAAAGCATCTTGTTGGACTTATTAATCATAGATAGAATTCTTAATCACATACATTAAAAAAATATTTGTAAAATTTATAAAAATCAAAAAACAAAACAGATGCATATTTACTAGTTGCATCCAGTTTTTAAAATCAAACATGTAAATGAATAAAAAAATAAATAGACAAACCTGTACATATGAGGGAACAGTGATAAGTTCAAGTAGGACTGACCAAATCCAAATAAATAATCTGGATGCAGACACTTTCAGAGCCAGGCCTCTCATGATAATAAATTGTGCTGGACGATTAATCGTCC